CTTAATTTTATGGGAACTCTTGGATTCACTTGACCTGCATTCATTGAAACGCGGACGATAGAGACACCTCATAATTTACACCTGGAAAATCCTAATCCTCAAATCTGCACACAGAAATCACTCCCTACGAAAGCAAAAGACTGGGCAGACGGTATAACATACCCTCCAGTGAAAAGTAGGGGCGACATTAGTATACTAAGAGAGAACACAGTAAGTGTCCGAAGCCCAAGACTGTTCAAGAGCCTCCCACCATGCATAAGGGGAATTAGCAACAGACCTCTGGCTGCCTTCAAGAGGGAGCTGGACAGATACCTAAAGTCTGTATGCGATCAGCCGGACTGGTTCGTACATTGGATTACGTGCGGCCAGCAGTAACAGCCTGGTTGATCAGTTCCTGATCCACCGCGCGGCCTGGCCAAGGACTGGGCAGCGGGGGCGTTGACCCCTGGAACATACTCTAGGTCCCCACCACCGACAGTCATAGTGATATGAGGCGTCGTTCCCAAGTCATTAAATGAAATCCTTGGAATAAGGAAACATAAAATATGTCATCCACTTAAAGGTGTTCTCCCTTGAAATACCTAACTGGGATATCCAACTAAATGCTAAATAAAAGATCGTAAAAAATATACAGGAGCCAGATAAGGTATATTCAAGGTGAGTGAGAGATGTTAGTTGCAGTCATGGATCTGCAAAAGACATACGACTGGTGGACAGAGAAGTGACGTGACTGGTGTTACAGATGTATTCAAAAAACAAGTCTGTATGACAGTGAGGTTCAGGATGATCAAGTGTTGGAAAACAGGTTGACTGCATAAGATTACGAGATGAATAAGATGGTACATGAATGCGCAGATCAATGAATGAATTGCTTAATAGACTGGAAAATGGTTTGATGAATGTATAAAATATTTAGGTGAACAAATTTACATATGCCTAAATATGTTAATAGATTTAAACAGGTTGAGAGGGGGGTTGAATAAGATTATATACGGCTAAAGTGGATAATATATGAATAAATGGGATAAGAGAGAGCGAGAGAGGAGAGAGAGAGAGAGAGAGAGAGAGAGAGAGAGAGAGAGAGAGAGAGAGAGAGAGAGAGAGAGAGAGAGAGAGAGAGAGAGAGAGAGAGAGAGAGGTGGGGAAGAGAAAGGTGAGGCATGCAGTGAAAGTTTATGAGACAATCCCGTAGGGTTAACATAATTAAGTTTTGGAAAGACCCAAATTTGATACTTGGAGAGGGTTTCGGGGGTCAACGCCCCCGCGGCACGGTCTGTGACCAGGCCTCACGGTGGATCAGGGCCTGATCAACCAGGCTGTTATGGAAGATGTTCATAAAGACAGGACATGCAAGTAACAAACTATGTTGCACGATGTTTAGCTAAACACAGCAACTTATCTATGCACAGACGTGCAATAATGACAGCAGACACTTAAACTTGCACAAGAGCACACTGCTGTGTGCTAAATATTAGGAAAAGCTGCTGGTGGGAGGTCAGTGAACATGGCAGTAGTTAACAGTGAACAATACGAAGTTCACTGTGCAATGTTAATTTTTTTAAGGTTAGATTAGGCTAGGTTAAACTAGGTTAGGTTTATCTAAGGTTAAATTAGGTTAGGTTACCTTAAATTAGACTAGGTTATGTAAGGTTAAATTTAGTTAGGTTAAATTAGGTCAGGTTTTGTTATAGGTTAAATTAAGGTATGTAAGGTTAGGTTATATTAGGAAAGGGTAGGTTAAATTACGTTATATAAGGTTAGGTTGTTAAGTTAAATTAGGTTAGGATATGTAAAGTTAGGTTGCTAGGTTAAATTAGGTAAGGTTAGGTTAGAAAGATAGGTTATATTAAGCATGGCTAGGTTAAATTAGGTTTCGTTACGTTAGACCAAATTAGGCTAGGTTTAGTTAGATTAAGCTAGGCTAAATTAGGTAAGGCTGGGTTCTAACCCAACCCAACCATAACCAAAAACATTCCAACCCAACCGAACGTCTTAAAAGCGAAAATTCACACAATCACACAGACAATCACACGACCATCGTCACTCCGACCTACACTGTGTACCAGCTGGAAACATTATTGGAACTCTTCGACTGAGTGCTGGCTGCTGATTGGACGGGCGCGCAATTAACCACAAACAATCTCCCTCTCGTAAAATATTCCGTTGGGCTAATATCTCCCGAAATAACAACTTGCGCGAGAAATAATTATTTTTGCTTGGGTTAGGATGCTTTGCTAGTATGAAAAGAAAATTATGTTGGTGGCTGAATTTCGCCGAGTTTATATATGTATATATATGTCGTGCCGAATAGGTAAAATTGGTCAATTAGGAATAACTATTAAAATTAAGTCCCTTCTAAAATTTCCTCTTATATTTTCAAAAATATATTTCTTTCATTTATGTTAATGTAAAAATTAATAATTTTGTACCAAAAGAACCTTAGAAAACTTACCTAACCTTGTTATAACAAGCGCAATTTAATTTAGCCGCTTAATCCACCTAAATATGTTTTGTATAACTTTACAATAATTAATGATAAACAAACACAATGCAATATATTTTTTTCGTTAGGATCAGAATGATTTTCGCCAAATTATTACATACACAAATTTTCGCTTGCCTTATTCGGCATAAAGAGCGTTGCTATTTCAGCCAAAATTGCGTTTTATTTGTTCGGCACGAGACAGACACACACACACACACACACACACACACACACACACACACACACACACACACACACACACACACACACACACACCTGGTCCAGCAACTGGCTTCTCGAATTTAACCCTGCCAAATGCAAAGTCATGAAGATCGGGGAAGGGCAGAGAAGATCGCAGACAGAGTATAGGCTAGGTGGCCAAAGACTGCAAACCTCGCTCAAGGAGAAAGATTTTGGGGTGAGTATAACACCGAGCATGTCTCCGGAAGCACACATCAACCAGATAACTGCTGCAGCATATGGGCGCCTGGCAAACCTGAGAACAGCGTTCCGATACCTTAGTAAGGAATCGTTCAAGGCCCATACTGGAATATGCAGCACCTGTTTGGAACCCGCACTTGATAAAGCATGTCAAGAAACTAGAGAAAGTGCAAAGGTTTGGGACAAGGTTAGTTCCAGAGCTAAGGGGAATGTCCTATGAAGAAAGGTTAAGGGAAATCGGCCTGACGACACTGGAGGATAGGAGGGTCAGGGGAGACATGATAACGACACATAAAATACTGCGCGGAATAGACAAGGTGGACAAAGACAGGATGTTCCAGGGAGGGGACACAGAAACTAGAGGCCACAATTGGAAGTTGAAGACACAGATGAGTCAGAGAGATATTAGGAAGTATTTCTTCAGTCATAGAGTAGTCAGGCAGTGGAATAGCCTAGAAAATGACGTAGTGGAGGCAGGAACCATACACAGTTTTAAGACGAGGTTTGATGAAGCTCATGGAGCAAGGAGAGAGAGGGCCCAGTAGCAACTGGTGAAGAGGCGGGACCAGGAGCTAGGACTCGACCCCTGCAATCACAAATAGGTGAGTACAAATAGGTGAGTACACACACACACACACACAAACACACACGATAAAGCTCATGGTGCATGGAGAGTGACCCAGTAGCGGCCAGTGAAGAGGCGGTTCCAGGAGCTATGACTCGACCCCTGCAACCACAACTAGGTGAGGTGAGTACACACATACTCATATATATATATATATATATGTGTGTGTGTGTGTGTGTGTGTGTGTGTGTGTGTACTCACCTCACCTAGTTGTGGTTGCGACCAGCCTGCTACTAGCCAAGGACTCGAACCTGTGTCGTCTTAGCCAGCCTCATGGCGAGAGAAAATTCATGACACTAACCCACGGGACTACCCAATCCTATAAGAATCATGCACCGAGTAGAGCTAGGTGTTTTACCGTGAACCGAGGACATACGGTGGTGTGGGTGCCTCAGAGCTAATTTCATTCTACTCACCGTTCGGTGTGCTAGCCTCCACGAGCAGTATAAATGTTATTGTAACCATGAACGAGTGGTATTTAATAAAAACCAACACTGCAACCAGCGGAGGACTCGAACCCGTGTCGTTTTAGCCCGCTTCATGGGGCGGGCTAAAACGACACGGGTTCGAGTCCTCGGCTAGTCGCAGTGCTCTTATAATATATATATATATATATATATATATATATATATATATATATATATATATATATATATATATATATATATATATATATATACATATAAAGCCTCTTGTTATGCAGAGAATTTCGGGCAAATTGGGTCAGTTTTATCCCTGAATGTGACCCACAACAGTCCACTAACACCCAGGTACCCATTTTACTGTTGGGTGACCATGGACAACAGGCATAAGGGAACATGCCCAATGTTTCACCCCTTGCTGGGAATCGAACCCGGACTCTCAGCGCATGAAGCTAGAGCTTTGGCACCAGGCCACGGGGCTGGTAATTTTTTTCATTTTATAAGTGGGGCAAAAAATTAAGCATTATTAAAGACGATTAATTGGTGGAAATTGTCATGGAACTTTCGTATTGTGTGTGTGAGAGAGAGAGAGAGAGAGAGAGAGAGAAGAGAGAGAGAGAGAGAGAGAGAGAGAGAGAGAGAGAGAGAGAGAGAGATTATTATTATAATCAAGGGGGAAGCGCTAAACCCGGAGGATTATACAGCGCCTGGGGGGGGGGATGTGGAAGGCATTCAGGCTTAATTCGGGGAACTGGAGCACAGATCCAATTCCCTAAATCAAGAGCCCCTCACCAACATCAAGGAACCTTCCTTGAGGGGAGAGAGAGAGAGAGAGAGAGAGAACACCCATCAACCTACCTGCCAGACATGCCGGCACCACTAGACCAAGACCCATGTTCCCTGGGTGGAGGGGGGAGGGGTGTTGTTGTGGTGCCGTACGACAGTGTGGGCGTGGCCACGCTGCCGGGGGAGGTGAGTCTCGGGCAGGTGATTGCTGGCAGTCACTTCCTGGCCGTTGTGACGTGCACACTACCTCCTCTACCCCCCCAATCCCCTCACACACACACACACACACCCCTTCTCACATACACACACACGCGCGTGCCAACCAGTGCCTCAAACAACTGAAAAGCAGTGCCAGTGCCCTCGTGGAGACGGCTGGAACTACCCACGTCAGTTGTCACAATGCGGCGTTTTACGACGCGTTTAAGCCTGGAATGATTTAAAAAAAGTGTGTTTGGATAACTTGACCTGGCCTGACCTGGGCCTGACTTGGGCTTGACCTGGGCCTGACCTGGGCTTGACCTGGGCCTGACCTGGGCTTGACTTGGCCCTGACCTGGCCCTGACCTGGCCTGACTTGGGCTTGACCTGGGCCTGACCTGGCCTGACCTGACCTGGGATGATGAATACAGGTGGGTCACCTCTCATCCTCCGCCAATCAGGTGATTAACTACCTGATTGTTGACCTCTGATCCAGGTTATATGTCTCACCTATTGTGTCTGATGATAATGTTTATTTTAATAATAATCGTAACAATATAATAATGTTTATAATACTACTACTACTAATAATTATTATTGTTAATATTATTATTATTAGCATTATACATACTATATTATTATATACATTATTATTTACATTATTATATACATTGTTATCGTAACTATTATTATTATTATTTCTCACAAATTATTATTAGAATGATCAATTATCATCAGGTCTTCCACACATTCGTCAACATTACCAGTGATTATCACCGAAGTGCAAATAATGATGATAAACATTCGTCATAATGATTGCGGACACGAGAGTAGAACCTCAGCTCGAGTTCCCACCAAGAAAGTGAAAACAAATCCATAGGTGAAATATACACAAATGTATATGATGTATAGGTGCCAGTGGTACCTCTACAGTGTATGTTGTGTGTATGATGTGTGTATGATGTGTATGTTGTGTGTATGATGTGTGCATGATGTGTATGTTGTGTGTATGATGTGTATGTTGTGTGTATGATGTGTATGTTGTGTGTATGATTGTGTATGATGTGTGCATGATGTGTATGTTGTGTGTATGATGTGTGCATGATGTGTATGTTGCGTGTATGATGTGTATGTTGTGTGTAATGATGTGTGTATGATGTGTATGTATGTGTGTATGATGTGTATGTTGTGTTAATGTGTATGTTGGTGTTAGATTGTGTATGATGTATGCATGATGTGTATGTTGTGTGTGTGATGTGTGCATGATGTGTATGTTGCGTGTATGATGTGTATGTTGTGTGTATGATTGTGTATGATGTATATGTGTGTGTATGGATGTGTGTATGTTGTGTGTATGATGTGTATGTTGTGTGTATGATGTGTATGTTGTGTGTATGATGTGTGTATGATGTGTATGTTGTGTGTATGATGTGTATGTTGTGTGTATGATGTGTATGTTGTGTGTATGATTGTGTATGATGTGTGCATGATGTGTATGTTGTGTGTGTGATGTGTGCATGATGTGTATGTTGCGTTGTATGATGATTGTATGTTGTGTGTATGATGTGTATGTTGTGTGTATGATTGTGTATGTGTGTATGATGTGTATGTGTGTGTGTATGATGTGTATGTTGTGTGTATGATGTGTATGTTGTGTGTATGATGTGGTGTATGATGCATATGTTGGTGATGTATGATGTGTATGTTGTGTGTGAATGTTGTGTGTATGATGTGTGTATGATGTGTATGTTGTGTGTATGATGTGTATGTTGTTATGATGTGTGTATGATTGCATATGTTTGTGTATGATGTGTATGTTGTGTGTATGTTGTGTGTTATGATGTGTGTATGATGTGTATGTTGTGTGTATGATTGTGTATGTTGTATGATGTGTGTATGATGTGTATGTTGTGTGTATGATGTGTACATGATGTGTATGATGTGTATGTTGTGTGCATGATGTGTATGTTGTGTGTATGTTGTGTGCATGATGTGTATGATGTGTATGTTGTGTGTATGTTGTGTGCATGATGTGTATGTTGTGTGTATGATGTGTATGTTGTGTGTATGATGTGTATGTTGTGTGTATGTTGTGTGTATGATGTGTGTATGATGTGTATGTTGTGTGTATGATGTGTATGTTGTGTGCATGATGTGTATGTTGTGTGTATGATGTGTATGTTGTGTGTATGATGTGTATGTTATGTGTATGTTGTGTGCATGATGTGTATGTTGTGTGTATGTTGTGTGTATGATGTGTATGTTGTGTGTATGTATGTGTGTATGATGTGTATGTTGTGTGTATGTTGTGTGTATGATGTGTGTATGATGTGTATGTTGTGTGTATGTTGTGTGCATGTGTATGATGTGTATATGTGCATGATGTGTATGTTGTGTGTATGATGTGTATGTTGTGTGTATGTTGTGTGCATGATGTGTATGATGTGTATATGTGCATGATGTGTATGTTGTATGTGTGCATGATGTGTATGTGTATGTGTGCATGATGTGTATGTTGTGTGTATGATGTGTGTATGTTGTGTGTATGTTGTGTGCATGATGTGTATGTTGTGTGTATGATGTGTATGTTGTGTGTATGTTGTGTGCATGATGTGTATGTTGTGTGCATGATGTGTATGTTGTGTGTATGATGTGTGTATGTTATGTGTATGTTGTGTGCATGATGTGTATGTTGTGTGTATGATGTGTATGTTGTGTGTATGTTGTGTGCATGATGTGTATGTTGTGTGCATGATGTGTATGTTGTGTGTATGTTGTGTGCATGATGTGTATGTTGTGTGCATGATGTGTATGTTGTGTGCATGATGTGTATGTTGTGTGCATGATGTGTATGTTGTTGTATGATGTGTATGTTGTGTGTATGTTGTGTGCATGATGTGTATGTTGTGTGCATGATGTGTATGTTGTGTGCATGATGTGTATGTTGTGTGTATGATGTGTATGTTGTGTGTATGTTGTGTGTATGATGTGTATGTTGTGTGTATGATATGTATGTTGTGTGTATGATATGTATGTTGTGTGTATGATGTATATATAATGAATTATTCACTCTCATTTTGACCTTTTTTTTCACTTTTTATCGACTCCTTAAAATTTTTTGGGCATTGTGGCGAGTGGATTATCCAGGTCCTGGGTATTGTGACGAGTGGATTATCCGGGTCCTGGGTATTGTGGCGAGTGGATTATCCGGGTCCTGGGTATTGTGGCGAGTGGATTACCCGGGGTCCTGGGTATTGTGACGAGTGGATTATCCGGGTCCTGGGTATTGTGGCGAGTGGATTATCCGGGTCCTGGGTATTGTGGCGAGTGAATTATCCGGGTCCTGGGTATTGTGGCGAGTGTATTATCCGGGTCCTGGGTATTGTGACGAGTGGATTATCCGGGTCCTGGGTATTGTGGCGAGTGGATTATCCGGGTCCTGGGTATTGTGGCGAGTGGATTATCCGGGTCCTGGGTATTGTGACGAGTGGATTATCCGGGTCCTGGGTATTGTGGCGAGTGGATTATCCGGGTCCTGGGTATTGTGGCGAGTGAATTATCCGGGTCCTGGGTATTGTGGCGAGTGTATTATCCGGGTCCTGGGTATTGTGGCGGGTGGATTATCCGGGTCCTGGGTATTGTGGCGAGTGGATTGTCCGGGTTCTGAGTATTGTGGCGAGTGGATTATCCGGGTCCTAAGTATTGTGGCGAGTTGATTATCCAGGTCCTGGGTATTATGGCGAGTGGATTGCCCAGGTCCTGGGTATTGTGGCGAGTGGATTATCCGGGCCCTAGGTACTGTGGCGAGTGGATTTTCCAGGTCCTGAGTATTGTGGCGAGTGGATTGTCCGGGTTCTAGGTATTGTGCCGAGTGGATTATCCGGGTTCTAGGTATTGTGGCGAGTGGATTAACCGGGCCCTGGGTATTGTCACGAGTGGATTAACCGGGTCCTGGGTATTGTGGCGAGTGGTTTATCCGGATCCTGGGTACTGTGGCGTGTGGATTATCCTGGTCCTAGGTATTGTGGCTAGTGGATTATCCGGGTCCTGGGTATTGTGGCGAGTGAATTATCCGGGTCCTGGGTATTGTGGCGAGTGGATTATCCTGGTTCTGGGTATTTTGGCGAGTGGATTATCCGGGTCGTAGTTATTGTGGCGAGTGGATTATCTGGTTCCTGGGTATTGTGGCGAGTGGATTATCCGGGTTCTGAGTATTATGGCGAGTGGATTATCCAGGTCCTGGGTATTGTGGCGAGTGGATTATCCTGGTTCTGGGTATTGTGGCGAGTGGATTATCCGGGTCCTGGGTATTGTGGCGAGTGGATTATCCGGGTCCTGGGTATTGTGGCGAGTGGATTATTCGGGTCCTGGGTATTGTGGCGAGTGGATTATCCTGGTTCTGGGTATTGTGGCGAGTGGATTATCCTGGTTCTGGGTATTTTGGCGAGTGGATCATCCGGGTCGTAGTTATTGTGGCGAGTGGATTATCTGGGTCCTGGGTATTGTGGCGAGTGGATTATCCTGGTCCTGGGTATTGTGGCGAGTGGATTATCCGGGTCGTAGTTATTGTGGCGAGTGGATTATCTGGGTCCTGGGTATTGTGGCGAGTGGGTTATCCGGATTCTGAGTATTGTGGCGAGTGGATGATCTGGGTCCTGGGTATTGTGGCGAGTGGATTATCCGGGTTCTGGGTATTGTGGCGAGTGGATTATCCGGGTCCTAGTTATTGTGGCGAGAGGATTATCCGGGTCCTGGGTATTGTGGCGAGTGGATTATCCGGGTCCTAGTTATTGTGGCGAGTGGATTATCCGGGTCCTGGGTATTGTGGCGAGTGGATTATCCGGGTCCTAGTTATTGTGGCGAGTGGATTATCCGGGTCCTGGGTATTGTGGCGAGTGGATTATCCGGGTCCTAGTTATTGTGGCGAGTGGATTATCCGGGTCCTGGGTATTGTGGCGAGTGGATTATCCGGGTCCTAGTTATTGTGGCGAGTGGATTATCCGGTCCTAGTTATTGTGGCGAGTGGATTATCCGGGTCCTGGGTATTGTGGCGAGTGGATTATCCGGGTCCTAGTTATTGTGGCGAGTGGATTATCCGGGTCCTGGTATTGTGGCGAGTGGATTATCCGGGTCCTAGTTATTGTGGCGAGTGGATTATCCGGGTCCTGGGTATTGTGGCGAGTGGATTATCCGGGTCCTAGTTATTGTGGCGAGTGGATTATCCGGGTCCTAGTTATTGTGGCGAGTGGATTATCCGGGTCCTGGGTATTGTGGCGAGTGGATTATCCGGGTCCTAGTTATTGTGGCGAGTGGATTATGCGGGTCCTAGTTATTGTGGCGAGTGGATTACCCGGGGTCCTGGGTATTGTGGCGAGTGGATTATCCGGGTCCTAGTTATTGTGGCGAGTGGATTATCCGGGTCCTAGTTATTGTGGCGAGTGGATTATCCGGGTCCTGGGTA